GCTGTTTGGTGATGACAGATATCGTCAGCAGTCAGCGTGAGAGAAGAAATGCGGGAACAAAGAATCAACGGTGTGTTTTGTAATCCTCACTCTTCATAGATTTTCATAACCATATATAGATATATAAACAAACCTATTCTGAATTTACATCCAGTGCATTTCTCATATAATTCTCCTTAATCAATTTCAGCTTTAAGAGTCCATTGGCCAAGTCCTGTGCAAAGAAAATTAAACAGTTATTATAAATTAACTTTAAAAACTAGAAAAGATGTTCATGGTACTATGTATGTACCAAAATAAAATTTAAGGCAGGAATTTAAAAAAACCCCACAAAAACAACAACAACAACAAACTATTAACTTGGATAGCCAAAGTTCAAGAAGAACACAAAATTTGCCAATATGTTCTTTTCTTTTTAGCATTTTGTATATTCTATAAATACCTATATATACACGAAATACTCATATATATTGATATAATTATACATAAACTTATAGTTATTTTCTTTGTATTATTTCATATTTGTTTGCTTTGTAATATTAGTCTCTCTCTGTATATTTTTAAACAGAATATGTTATCATAATAAAATGTGAATATTGTTAATGTTGATGATAACTTGATATCATTCATCAAGAAAAAGGATGACCACTGTCTGTATAACAGGTGTCCGCACCTGCTATTCTACTGGACTATCACCACAGGGGTGTGAAGTGAGCCTAGCCACTTACCGCCCAGGCGCCAAGTGCCCCATGTGTCAGTGTTGATTGTTTGTTGTTTGTTTACGCGAAGGCGTGATGAGTCAAGTGGGATGAAGCTATAACGACGTGACAGCTGGTGGGGAGAGCAGGCATCCGCTGGGACGGTTGTTTATTCCCCAGCCGGTTGAAATAAATTTACAAGGCGAGCGCTGTGCGTGCTTGCAGAGGGGGGAGGGGGGCACACGCGCTACTTCTTCGCGCAACAGTTACTTGTCTCTTTGTTACATTCGAACTGTCTGAAAACATGTCAGCGTTCTTTGCTGCTAGAAAAGATACCTACTGCCTTTTTGTCTTTTTCCTCGTACGGATATAGCATATTCCTGATATAAATAATACTCTTCTGCCTCTCTTGTAAAGATTTTTATACTGCTAAATGTCATTAATTTGACTTTTCTTGTGTAATAATAATATTTACCAATACTTTACCCAATTACATGTATTATGTGTGCCGATTCTTGTGTTTGGCTAGTTCAGTTATACTTCTTTTTTAAATACCAACAATAACAAAACAACTGTTTTGATCTTATTTGTGACAACCTAGTGATATATATACATATATTTAATATTGATGTATACCCATGATTATGTAGATAAAAAGTTACGAAAGGTGTTTCTCTCTATTCTGTACTTGCCATGAACGTAGAATTTACTATTTGCCATTTCACATCGGTTGCCTACCTTATCCAAACATATATTTTCTATCATCCAGAGTTTTAGCCCATTTTCGTCTCAATAAAATAACTGTCTGTTAATTGTCCTAGCTGTACATAAGTCTAAGTAGTGTAGGGACCTTCTAATACACTGCTTCCTTGCATTCCCAGTCTTCTAACAAAGACTATAGTTTAAAGCACAAATCCATTTGATATTTTGAAAATGTGTTTTTGATAACAAAACACCGTTACCATGTCAATCAAACAAAACACTTCCTCTCCACGTTTTATTTTTGAAGATTATGCATACGAAATGAGATCCAAGCAAGCCATCATATAGTGGGAAGCACGACAGAGCCAGGACAAAAAGAAGTCGCGTTTTTCTTTCACTAGCTACTCGTAGGCTACATTTCTAGCAGCAGTTTTCCTGAAGGGATCACTCTGGGCCATAAGTACAATCCCCGTACACAAATTTATAAGTGTGTCCCAGCGGGGCTCCTAATGACGGACATATGTCATCGTAAATGTCAGGCGCGTATTTTTGAAACCGACAACGTACAGACGGGTCCATTTCATTGGCGGGGATCGCCTTCTCAATTACACATCTCACTGTCGGAAAATAATCCGCCTTGAAAGCGTCTCAGCTGAGGTAAGAATCGTCAGGTTTCTTCTGAAAAGAATATCCAGAGGATCCAAGGGTCAAAATTAACTCAGCGATACGAAAATAAAAGGAATTTGATTTAAAAAAAATGAGAATACAGTACTTGAAATTTATTTATTTAGCAACTTTATCATTTATTTACTTTATATACTACATCTTTATCATCAACATTTGTTGTTCGTCTTTTATTTTGAAGGTTTTTCGCATGGACGATGAACGTGTCACGTCTCCTTTAAACGGATTAATGAAAATAAAATAACGAAATAAAACACCACACAACTAGAATGATAACTCCATACTAAATCCACATGTTTGTGACCAAGAACAGGCATTCCAAGTGTGGTGTGAGCCCTGAGACCCCCTCCCCGCCTCTCGCATTGTCTTGATGGATGTAAATGCTTGGCGAGTGAATGAAAATCTTGTTTGCTTTGGGCAAATGTCGTTGGGTGATGGGTGAGGCACCCGGAGACAAAGGCTCCGATGTGAAATTGCCGACCGGTGGTGATGTATTGAGCCGGAATCTCTCTATAATCATTCTCGGCACTTCTTGGCCCGCGGGTTGAGGGAAAGGAAGTCGCTGTGTGAAAATCTCTCGTTGCTTCCCGTTTGAAGGAGGCCCCAAGAGGGTTGTACTACAGGAGGAGAGCGATAGGAGCATTGGTCGGAATTAAGGTTACAGTGGCCATGAAATCTTTTTTGTAGAGGCGCAGCGCCCGACTGCGATCCGCTAATTCCAGTTAATAATCAGGATGTGAGCGTCTAACGGCCCGCTGATCTCCCTATAAATGGGGAGGCAGAAAGCCATTCTCCGCCGTTATCCCTCACGTTTTTATGGTGGGGAAGAGCGGCGCTCCCTCCGAATGTTAGGACGTGCGTGCACGTACCGAGCCGGGGACCCGGCTGTTGTACTGAAACAGAGCTCGCGAAAACGTGCGCGGCGCGCCTCGCGTTGTTGTGAAATATGATCGGTCTTCCCAAACTCCCTGCGTGACCCACACTTGAAATGAGCAATTCACTTCCGGGTCAGCGTTCTGATCGCATGCCGGTTGAGTACGTGCGTGGTGGCTTGGCTTGGCTCGACCCCTAGCGTACAAGTAATGCGTTTTTGTTCACATTTCGCGCTAGCAACTGACGAGAATTTATTTTGGGCCGAGGTCAAAATAGCAGCGATAGAAAACAAAAGAAACCAAACCGATATCTCTCTGTTTATAGTTCGTACGTTGACGCAACTTTGCCATCATATTGATCCACAGAGTAGATATCTACAAACGAAGTAAAAGACCGATAGAGGGATTTCAATAGTCTTCCATCACATCCAACCCAGCTAACACACCTCATTCACTATCCGATAGTAGAATACATCAGACTGTGTTCAATGATACACAAACACATAATTTAGCTTACGAGACAAACAAACCCATATACAAAAATATTATTCTTTAAAAAAATATAAGATTCTTGAAAAGGCATAGGAAAATCAGGGGAAAATTATGTTAAAAACATTTTGTTAATGTTGAACTGTAAGCCGAAGCCAGTCACATTTTGGGTGTGTTTTTGGTGTTTCCTGACACAAGGAAAAGTTTACGAGCAAAAACACAAAGCACTTCTGAACAAAGGAAGTGATGTCTGTAGCGTTTTAGTCACGTAGCGCGATATTTTCCCCCAAAACACATGCACACATACACCGTTTAAGAGCAGCGAACGGCCACCTAACAGCTTTAGTTAAAGCCGTGGGAACATTTCTCTGTTTCTGCGGTGCGGAAATGATATTGTGTTACAAAGGGGGCTCCTGACACTGAAGTCCTCACGGCGTGTGTACAGAGGGGGGAACTGTCGGGGACAAGCCCGTGCTACTGTGCAATTTGCGGACAACACATGGAAACATGATCGCCCCTTCTGAGGAAAGAGCATGTCATCGCCGATGTTTACATAGCGCGGTTTCTGTTGTTGTTGTTTGTTTGTTTATGTTTCCCACTGATCCGTTCATTGGGGGTTGTTTGTAGGGCATGGATGGTCCTTTGGGAACTGAAGTGGGGATCAGGTCGGCACGTGTAGGCGTGGTGACCAGGTCCCGAGGGGAACACTTAGGAGGCCCATTAGTGTCTCAAAAGATGTCAATTTCACTTTTTTTCCTAGCTCGCCTAGGCTTGGACAAAGCCTTAGCGCAAGTCGAGACTAGCGTAACCAGAGTAAGAAAAGCAAAAACGCTATTACATAATGCTAAAGACACGGTTGAATCCTTTATTATACGTTTTGTCAGGTTCTACTTACCCTCTGTGAGCGAAGCTAGACTTTCCCCCAGTTACTCCCTGTACAGAACGGAAGCACACTGTGACTCGGCGGTGACCTTGTGGTAGTGACATGTAAGGCTATGCTTCAGATGACAACTTGTGAAAGGGCGCGCGGGCGTGTCCTGTTGACCCAGAACTAAGTCACTCCCCCACCTAAGAGAACGCCACTCTCCCTCGCGAGAAACCTTACTTCAGGAGAACTCCCACATCTTTCCACAAGTCCACGGGTTTCCTTCTGAAATGGACTCTCCCTGCGCCACACTTCCCTGACTTACCAGCGCGCCTGAGACGAGAGAGCACCCTACAGCAGCACAGAGGGCACACGGGGAAAGTGGAAAGCCTATACTTTTCCTCCAGTTCCTATCAATCAGGGCTGAGGACACAGAATACGTACGCGGGTCCCATGGGGGGAGCCCCGCACGGAACGGCTTCCCCCGAACAGGCCCGGTGTGCGCGCGGCTGGTATTGTGTTATCGTGTGTGCGCTATGGACTAGCTGTAACAAGTAGGCGAAGTAAAACCTATTTCCCATCGCCCAATTTCGTCTCAGTGAAGTGAGTTTTTACAACGAACAAAGAGGGCTCTTTGGTACATAAATTAATTGACATTTGCATATTCTACGCTCCAGCGAGTCTCTAAGGACAACAGCATTTTCAATCAAGGGCGGACCAATCAGGAAGAAGGAGTAAGATGATACAAAATAAATTGACGCATAATTGCCCGTCAATCACGTGGAGGGTGGCCAATGGGCGCGCGAGGTTCTGCCCCATCCCTCATCGCCATGATGTGTCTGGCGGCAAACTAAAGTGGAGTTTAGTTTTCACATAGCGCTAGTTTTGCAAGTCAGATCAGACGACCTTACGCGATGGCTACAACAACATCACTACCGTCTAGTCCCTACATAGTGAGCAGTACTGCTGCACCGATCGTCACCACACAGGACGACAATATGCAGGTTCCCAGCGTGTCTCAGGCCAGCTACAGGGACATACAGAAGCTACCAACCGATTACCTCGGGCAGCAGCAAGCCGTCAGCAATGGGCACCCCCTCTCGCAGGCTCACCAATGGGTCCTACCGCACACGGAAGGCTCGCCGTGGCCAAGCAGCCTGGCCGCCGCCGCCGGAATCGGAGTTTTCACGACAGCAGACATCAAGCAGGGGAGGGAAGACTTACACGGGGCCATACTGCACCACAGGCCGCAGCAGCAGCAACAACAACAGGCCCAGCAGCAGCAGCAGCAACAACAACAACAACAGCAGCAGCACCCGCAGATCGTGTGGAACACGCCCGTAACTTCAGCGCACATACAGATGACAAGCAACGGGTCTTCGCCCCTGCTTAGTAGTCACGCGCACAGCCTTTCCGGCTACTCTGTCAATGGCATGGTGTCGCCGGGCCAGCAGATGCACCCTGTGCTGCAGGACCACGTTCCCCAGGACTCTCCCATCCCTCAACACCACGATAACAGCGACGACGACACGCCAACGTCAGATGATCTCGAGCAGTTCGCCAAGCAGTTCAAACAACGTAGAATCAAGCTGGGCTTCACGCAGGCCGATGTGGGGCTCGCGTTGGGGACTCTGTACGGCAACGTGTTCAGCCAAACCACCATCTGCCGTTTCGAAGCCCTGCAGCTGAGCTTCAAGAACATGTGCAAGCTGAAACCTTTGCTCCAGAAGTGGCTAGAGGAGGCAGACTCGTCGTCTGGGTCTCCCTCGAGCATAGACAAAATCGCGGCACAGGGCCGAAAGCGTAAGAAACGCACCAGCATTGAGGTGACTGTGAAAGGGGCCCTGGAATCGCACTTCCTGAAACAACCCAAACCGTCAGCGCAGGAGATCGCTCAACTCGCCGACAGTCTTCAGCTCGAGAAGGAGGTTGTCAGGGTCTGGTTCTGCAATCGGAGGCAGAAGGAGAAGCGGATGACACCGCCGGCATTGAACGGCCCTCCCGGCCCGCCCGGAAGCGTGCCCACCACCGTCAGCAGTGAAGTGGACCGTGCCTCGGCGCTCCGGCCTCCCAGCGCCGAGGGCATCATGCAGTCAGCGGGCCTGGCCGCACAAAATATAGCAGCCAGCCTTGCACAACAGTGACACTACCAGGGGCCAAAACAACGACAATACACCACGGACGGGTGCGAACCCCCCTCCCACATGCCATGTACTGATCGCCTATTGAACAGATGAGTATTACGTTAGTTCTGTTGTATTTGTATATTGGATCGTACTTGTACTCAGACCGACGTTCTGTAACCCACCACAGCACGGACCGTCGCTTCTCACTCTAACTCAAGATTCGTGGACTTCCATTTTTGTTTGTCTCCAGAGCCACGCATTTATTATTTTCTATGCCACACTGTGATATAAGGAAGATATATTCTTTGTGAGATTTTTTGGAGGAGCAAGTTTCCAATGGATGTTATATTTGCTCAGAGTCGAGTCCACCACTACACGTGTTGTATAGTCATACCCCCCTCGTCTGAGGTGCGTGCTGTTTTGTATATGACATGACGATTGTGTATTTGGAACTGTCAAAATGTGTATTTTATGTCATTCCAAAAAGTGAGTAGCTAGGGTATATATGTAGAACTTCGTGTGTTTAACGCCGGCTTTGCCAAAGTAATAATATTCAGGTATTGTTTCCAAAATGCTGTACGTGAGTTTCGGTCATTTTCACAATGTAGTGTTGGAGGGTTGTTTCGCTGCCATTTAGTGCAGAGCGCAAAGGTGCACTCAACCCTCAAAATATAACATTATTCTATTTCCTACAACTTCAGCCAATCAGACTCCAGCTTAGCTGTTGTTGATCGAAAAGTATTAGTTATACTTTTTTTATCTTTGCTACTAAGTTGTATATGTTGTGTTGATCATTGAAATGGGGGGAATATTTCCCTAACTTCCAGATGTAAATATTACTTTTTTGGTTTCTATTTTTTATTGCAAGAAATGAAGAAAAAGAACGAGAGACTTTTTATGATTATTGTGTACAGAACAGGATCTTATGTTTGTTGATTAGATTTTTCACGGAGACATTTATATAATATTCGAAGGTTTATACCTTTGTTGCTGTAAAAATGAACCGGAACGTTCTGTGGAAGATATCTATATATATATAATTAAGGAACATTGTATGAGGAACGGTTAACTTATTTCGTGTTTCATACTACGCGAGAACATTATTTTATCCATTGTTGCTTCCACGTATGACTCAAATACTGGTATATTTTCTATTAACAACTTCGAATTGAAAAGCAAGTGAAAGAGAGAAAAAAACATTTTTCGAATGTAATTTTATGTAATTTGACTGGAAAAAGAGGGGGAAACCCTCATGTAGGTAGACGTTTAACACGATTTTAGTGTTTGTTCAGTGGAATATAAAAAAAATCAGTGAGCGAGAAATAATAAATACGTTTTGGACGAGAAGTGGTATGGCTTCAGTAATGTTTGTTTCTATTATCCGGACGTTGACCTCTCTTTTGATATGTCTGAAGATGGGTCTCCCTCCCTCCCTGTATCTAGTATATTTGATGTGTACATTCAGGATTAACTATATTCCTAAAACTGTTGTCAGAAGCTATTCACGTTGTGTACGGTACAGAGCTCCCTTGTCATGTTGGTTTGCAGCGACTCGCGTTTAGCAAATATAGCGGAAACAATGAATGAATGACGCCCTTGCCTTCCTGAAAACTGTTCTTAAAATCTCAGGATCAGACGTTCGTGTGTGTGAGATCTGTAGAACCCCCCACTCTACATACATACGCGAGTAACTTGCACCAAACCTGCCTCCCTACATAGCCGAGAATAGTGCTCGCTGTGAAACAGATCTCAGGGTTGTTTTGCAATTCAAAAATACCCAGGTTGAATAATTCGGCCCGGAGTCCCTGGTTTCAATTGTTGTAGTGCACAGCAGTGTTCTTTTGTGTTCCCTGCCTGTCTTGTGCTTTATTTATACACACTGGGACTGTAGGAACCAACAGGTTCAAACTGGATCCTTTGTCACAAGACCCTACAAGGAAAAAATCCTCTATGTCTTGTGTGGTATTATGTTCGCGTTTTTTGGGGCTTATTGTGAAAAATATCTCATCCCTCCGTTTTTTTTTACAGTTTTATACTGTAGTAATAGTATTCGTTGCGAACTTTCTTGGATACTTGGTTCTTGAATTACAGGAAATAGCTATGTGCATTGTTGTCCTCTTGGAAACTTGTTCACTTGTTCTAACGGAAGTGGCTTCTTTGTTCAGGACGCACCGGTTGCTCTTTTTACTGAAAAACAGTTCAGACAATAGATATAAACGGTAGTCCACACTTTATGGCTTCCCTTCATGTGTCACAATACACATGTGTCGTTTTTGACTGGGTGGGGGGCAGACAGTTTCACATATATGCTTCATAACCTTTCCCCCTGCCCTTCTCTCTTTTGTTTTTGTCACACCCTGAGGCAACGTTACTCCTGTCTGTTACACCTTATATCCGTGTCAGCAAACGTGTCTGTTGTACCTTCTACGTATGATCTAACATTTTATGTTGTAAGATTGTTTTTCAGTTCTAACTGTTGCCTGATTTCCATCGTCACTACTACTACCGTCACGTTTTCTGACATCATTGCTTGTAGGCGGCACAACATGTGGAATTTTCACAAGAAAACACCAGGATATTTGCTCGGACGTCCTAGTAGTGATCACTTTTTCATGCTCCCCATGTGTTCTTCACATTCTAACAACTGTTACTGACGAACTTTTTTTGTCTCCTTGCCTTTGTTGTTCTGATTGCCGAGTATGTCGAAAAATGGGAATGTAAACCTGAAAGATACGTACAGCAGTGTTCAAACATTGTAGCAGATTGTTGGTAGATTTGGATGAATGGCTACAGTAAACAGTTTAGTTTTTCTGAGGGTAAAACTGGGAAACCTAGATTTGTCCTTTCAAATGGCTTTGCCAAGCCTTGAAAAATACTCAGACCAAAAAATAGAACCCCGATTAGAATACCGAAATTAACACTAAAATCGACTGGCCCGGAAGGCTAACAATTATATCAATAGCTTCCAATTAGTACGATTTAGATAGAAACTGTGGCTCATCATAGTGTACCCTGTGGTTACCTGTAACAGAGACAAAAACCTGAACATCCAGGTGGATTTTGCTGACCTTTGAGAGACTGAAGGGTGAGGTGTATCTGTCCTGTCAACCCGTATCCAAACCACAAAAGGAGGGAGGGGGTGAGGCCATTGAATTTATGTTTTTGTTGTTGTTTTCACAGTTAGGGATCTACTAAAAAGCTGGCCATCACCAATCTGAAAAGAAGGAGGATTAACACCTACTTGTTTTATTGTTAGTTTTGGATGGTCAGCAACAAGCGGAAAATGACCAGGTCGGTTATTAACCTCTTTCAGTTCTAGTCTGGGAAACAGTGATGGTAGCATATGGATAGGTGGCGAAGGTTTCTTAGATAAGTCTTTTTAAAGGCAGTTTAAGCACCTGGAAAGGGTATTAGTACCAGTAGATCACACCTGTATTTTAACAAGACTCATCCGATCTCAGCTATCTTTTACAATTGTGTACCTTTTATCTTAGGGATCCCAATCCTGTGACACAGTTGTAGAGAAGCGAACCTACAGCTTGGCTGGCCAATCACGACAACAAAAGAAGCTTTGGCCTCAGCCCTGGTGTTTTAAATCCCTCCTTCTCTGTGTGCTTTAATACCCTGTTGGCTCGACAACAATCTCTCTTTACAGGATTTCAGGATAAACGGAGTATTTGGAACAGTAGGGGAGAGGTAAGTAGTGTACACGTGTAACCAACTCCTGGGCCTATCAGGTGCAAACTTGTGATGGAATTTGTCATGTTTTATTTAGTTTCAGCAGGATATCTTACATTTTGGGCCAGATCGCAAACAAAGGAGAGAATATGAGTGCCTGACCGGTGTAGTGAACAGACGGGTGGAAGTCCTTCTTTTGTTTCTGTGAAGCGATGTGTGCCACTCATGATAACAGGTTATCAGCGAGGATGATTAATGTACCTGTCTTCAGTGGCTGGCTTCTCCCACTTTTACACTTGCCTGGGGCAAAAATGGGAGGGGGGCAAAATTGCTTCGCTCTGACCCATTTTTATGTTATCCTAAACTAACACCATGCAAGGTTAGACTAAAGAGCTTGCACTGGGAAAGTATATCGGTCTCGAAATTGTCAGCCCGAAGACCGGGGTTTACAACCTTTATATCGTCCTTTCCTTCCCAATATTCATGTGGATGGCGTTTTCTAGAAATTCTGTTTCGGCACACAACGTGTTTAGTACAGTTTGCTTGAGGCTCAGTTTTTATTTTATTTTATTTTATTTTTTTTTTTGCGTTTCACTTGTCTCTCATGTTGTTGTCGTTTCAAGGGGCTATCCTCAAATCCTACGCCCGAGCTGGTGGTTGTGGTCCGAGGGGAACTGTGTCCGATAGCGCGTAGCTCCTCGTGTGTTGTGTCAGTAAGGCAGGGTAGTAGGGAGGGAGGGCAGCGGAGTGACTACCTGTGTACCGGCCCGGTCACGTACACACGTGGGTAGGGCTGCACCCAGGCCGTACTGTCTGCTACACGCTACAGGCACGGAATCTGGCAAGTATAGCCTAGGTGCCAGACTCTTTCCACGGGCACAGGGTAAATATGCCCCAAAGGAAATGCTACCACAGCCCCTCAGTTAGACCTGGGTGCCAGGCTGCCTTGTACACAGGCCAGTTCCTCGGCTCCAGGGCCAACATGCCCCAAGGACAGTATACCACGGCCCCCTCAGTTAGACCCTGATCCCGGAACACTAGCGTGCTATATGCCTGGCATCAAGGCTAACAGAGCCGGGTGTGTAGCGTTAACAGAAAACAAAGAAAGAATAAGAAAAGAAAAGAAAAAAAAAAACTGAAAATGTGATGAACGCAAAAGAAACTTGTTGATTCCTGTTGCAAATCTGTCATTAATATATGATAGTCATGGATACAACCTTTGGCACTGAAAGTCTGTGATTGTACGCACGCTGCCGTCTCCATTGTTAGGGCGCATTATATCGTACTACGTACTCCGGAGTAACCCCAGAGGAAGACGCTAGGTTCTTGTCGTCATTCTTCACCATCCGTCCACAAAAGAGGGCCCTGTCCTCTCCCGTGTGCTGTGGTCAATATATACAACCCACGAGAGGACCTTTAAACACCGCTGATCACTTTTCTTCTTGTTGCTATTTTCCCTTCTATTACAATAACCCCAATATTATCTTTGTGTGGAGCTCACTACGCGGAGATCAATACAAAGCAATGAAATATTAATACAGCGGCGGGCTGCCACGCTCTCGCCTTTGGCGGCCAAAATAAACGCTTGCTGATTTCAATTGCAAATCATAGAAAAAGGGAATTCCTCGGTTTTTACGTACAGTTTGGGACGGCGTTGCGTGCATGAGATATCGTGGCGCGCGGGAAGAGAGGGCGAGACTGCGGCCGCGGTATGTTTGGTCGTGCGGTGTGGTGAGCACGTTGTGTATAATTCTGAAAGTGTGTGTGTGTGTGTAGGGATGGGCAGAGTCATGGGCATGGCGGTGGTATGGCTCGCCTTGAGAGAGTTTATTTACAGAACAAGCGGCTTAAACACCGGCTCAAATCGGTAGAAACCATCGCAGCTGATGTTTGCTCTCCGTATTTCTTTTTTTCATCCCAGAGTCTCTGTTTTCCGTCCCTTCCCAGAGACAACGGGGTATTTTTCTCGCCGGTGAAATATACAATATTACTTACAGAGAGGATCGAGTCGGGAGAATTCTGCTGAGATTAAATTAGTGACGGAGTCGCTTTAGGAGAGGAGTATATAGGGAGGGTTTCTCGCAATAAATATGGCGACAGAAGGACTAGTTGCCCCCCGGGGGCTCGTCCACTAAGGGCCGGCAAAGCAACACGGGCAGCCCGGAGCTCTCTCAGTCCTTTGAAGCCGGGATAAAAAAGCTTTTCCACTCTGAGTATTGAAACGGTAGTCATCGAGGGACATGGCTTGGCTGGGAAATTGAGCTCGGAGGTGGTGGAACAGAAGAGGAGAGTGGTGGAGGTTTTATGTTTCACAGAGACACAGCGGTGGGGCCTGAGACTCCCATAGCCGCCGGGCACGGGGCTGGCTGTGGACGTACCTGCCGAGCACTCAGCTACAACGGGACATTTTTTCCAGCTCTGGCGACATTTTTGCGTGTCGCTGGCTGTGATATCGTTTTTCAGGAGAGAGGAGGCAGAGAGCACGTATCCTTCGTTTCCTCTTCTGTGAACTGCAAAGCCGATTCTGCTTCAGTGGGCTCGGCTGCGCTGATAGGCAAACATCAACGCTGTTACAGGCGTACTAAACCCTGACTGCCTCCCAAAATTAGCTCCTTTTCACGCACATGTGCCCCTGATCCCTAATCCGCGCGGTTTTTCCCCCGCGGTCC